TATAGAGAATAATAGGTCTGAATCATCGCTTGGTTTGCCCACGAAGGTTAGATTCGCACCTGGTGTAGAGGGAACCATTAGACTTCCCGTATTTGCAGGCGTTGGAGCTGAGAATGCTGCTGGAGTGTCAGCTGCAGGTGTTTGAGCTGTGAATCCTGGGGTTTCAGCCGCAGGTGTTGGCGCTGTAAAGCTTGGAGTTTCAGCTGCAGGCGTTGCTGGAAATGCACTATCCCACGTTGGAGTGCGAGTTCCACTATCTATAGCATATGCAGGAGTTTTACTTCCAATATCCCAGGCAGGTGTTCTCGAACCATCAATACCATTATAAGCAGGAGTTTTGCTATCAAGATCCCAAGCAGGCGTGCGAGATCCTTCGCTAAAATGAACCGCCGGTGTGCGAGATCCCTCAGCAAATGAAGATGGTGTGCGTGATCCTTCAGTAGTATTTGAGTTTGGAGTCATTGCATTATGCCAAGTGGGAGTTCGTGAACCGTTCCATGAAGAAGGTGTTCTTGCGCTGCTTGATTGCCAGCTAGAACCTGAATAATTTGATGGTGCTGGACTATATTCTCGACTATTTCTGCCCGCTGAAACATCTTGTGCGGAAACAACAGGCCGACTATTGCCATTTGCACTAAACATTCACAATATGTTAATTATTGGCAGTAAAAATTTTTTTTTTAAAAAAAAAAAAAACTTGTAAATCCTTACTCAATAGTATGCAGCTTAGTCTTCTCTACATTTACAATCTGACAATTAGTGTGTAACTCTACCCGCGCCATTAACACAGTCGTTTCCTTTACAATACCAATAAAGCCTTTGTAAGGCCCTTTTATAATAGTAACCGTTTGTCCTATAAGTGGATCAGGCTTGCGATGCCGGCCAAATCCACCACCACGGCCACCACGACCACCTCGTCCACGACCGCTATAATTATAGTTTGATCGATATTGAGGTGGATTCTGGTATTGAGCTGGCACGGCAGAGAATACTTCTGGATTTAATTTATCAAGGGCGATTCCAGCCTAATATTATAGACAACAGATTAAAATATGAAAATCCATCAACTTATTTGCAAGTACAATAAGTTACATACCGTTCTTGTATTATTATTCGTAAGCGAGTTACATTCGACTACGAATACACCCCCATCTTCGCCAAAACCGCCGCGACTTAATACAAAGGCATATTTTCGGTAAATATAAAGTATTTTACCTTCACGGTTCTTATATAAAATATTGGAAGTTTAGTCGTATTCTAGAAATGTAATACATTTAAACCAGAATAAAACTTCCTTACCTCATTTCTGCTATCTTGAACTGTGTCTCCTACTTTCAAAACAACTTGGTTTTTTCCAAGAGACGTTGCTGATGGTCTTGGATCTTCTTTTCCAATTATTTCTTCCTGTTTATAATCAGAGAGAACACCAACACCATCCTTTAATTCAACCACACGATAAGAATTCGCATCAACATTAACAATCACGCCCACAGTATTTCTACGTAATTCATACAAAATATGTTGGTTTGATTCAATTATGCATTGATAAAAAATGACAAAATACTTACGAAATGAGTTTAACTAAATCGTGTAACTCGAACTCGGCACCGGACGGTTTCCCATTTGTAGATTCTGATATTTTCTTTAGATCTTTAGAGAACACTTTAATCTACAAATTAAATATAATTAACTTTCAAATTAATTTGTTGTACAAACTCACATTATGTATAAATAAATAACTTACTTCTGACATAGACATATCAGATAATAGAGTAATTTGGCTTCTACTTTTGTCAATATTGACAACCATGCCGGCTTCTCCTTGATGAGATCCATTAAGCACTTGAACATGATCTCCTATATTGAATCTCTTTGCTAGTGAATCTGCGAGGAAAGTCACTTGCTGTGTGGATTTATGACGAGTGAAAGTGACACGGTCTTTATCCACTCTATCCACAATACCATAAATTCCACGCTCCGTTCCCATTATAACTTCAACTTCGTCACCAGGTGCGAATCTAACCTTCGTGGGCAAACCAAGCGATGATTCAGACCTATTATTCTCTATATCATATAATAGAGTTAAACCAACGAATTTAACATCCCTTACACATGTACCGAATGAATATACAAACCATCTGTATCAGCCGCTGAAAGGAACAGCGTAATCTCATCCATTGTTGGACTCACATCCAGATTCTACGAAAGTCGTAATTTAATTAATCTCTTATTTTACAAAACGATATATACGGTAGTGCATAAAATGAATTTGTCTTACTAGATTTGTGATTTTTATATCTTTTTCCGAATAACCTCTATCATAGACTTTGACTGTCGATGTAGATGCGGATTTTTTTCGCTTTGACGGATTAACAGACATCGTTTTTGCATCCTTCTCATCAATACGCGGGACGCATTTTATTCTTACTTCATTACTACCCTCTTCGTAAACAACTGCAATCTAATAAAAATTAATAGAACATAAGTTATGAAATTATAGGCAAGAGAAGATAAATTAATAATGAAATAACTGTAAAATATGAAATACCTGAACTAAGTCACCAGCGTATTTTCCTTTTTTTACTTTGGCCCATGAGCCTTCTTTAAGCTTAACATCTTTCCTTTTAATTGTCAATACATGTGTTCTTTCGGCCAATGGTACAAGTTTTATTTGCGATAAAAATAGGTTATTTATGTTTGCCATTGCCTATAAAGCCAATATCAAAGCTGAATGAGGAAACATATAACAATAAAGATTTTATGGTTAAAAAGACTAGTAATATGATCTACCTTTTGTACATGTGCCAGTTTCCAGGCTTCGATGTATACATATCCTTTTAACGCATCTCTACATGTGACGGACAAAATTTCAAGTGGATGTTGAGAGTACTCGCTCTCTTTGAATTGTTTCATAAATTGAATAACAACGTCTTTTTCTTTTCCTGGCTACAACATTATAAACAACAATTGTTAGTAATTGACGATATCAATATGTCAATTAAACAATAAAATAAATTAAATACATACTTTACATCTGATAACAAACATGTTTGGTTGATGTACATCTGGAATATACTGTACTGGTATACTAGAATCAGATTGAATGTGATGGCCTCGGCGACGACCATAACGCACATTCATTTGCTGAGCAAGTTCTTCGGCATCTAAATTCTCTGCCTCGAGCGCCTTACGATCAAGTTCCATAGCCATGCGCCGAGATTCGCGGGAAGAAGATGGCAACTCATCAAGCTCATCACGATTATCAATGAATTCTGATGGTGTAAATAAAAATTAATGAATAATGTAATACGATAAAAATTCATTTCAGATTTACCGTAAAATTCGAACGCAGATACCCCATGGCGTGTACTCTGCCGGTTTTAAGAGCTAGACGGCGATACCCGAGTACACAATATAATATATGTATCAAACCAGATAGTATAGTAAAACATATACCCCGGGTACGGAATTGAGTAATGAAAATACCCGGGACACCTGCGTCCAGATTTTACGGTAATAAGTTTTAGACAAATCAATATTACGTTGAGATAAAATTGCCTCATCATCCTCATCTTCTTCTTCTTCGTCATCGTCAACGTCAGCTTCCAGCAAGAAGAAATTTTTTAGGTCATCTTTTCGCATTTTCTTTGTTTTCTACATATTCGAACAAAAAGTTTTCAATTGAATAGATTTTATCATTTGAACAAATTTTTTT